TATATAAAAACATTATTTGATAAGTATTTAATGAATTTTCTAATTGTATTGAATAATATAAATTTTATCATAATAAATTTCATAATCATAAACATTATAACATAAAAACAAAATAATATATAATATACCAGTTAAATGAAAATATTATGTTTAAAGAATGATTTTTTGTTGTATTTTTTCTCATTTTTTAAGTCATTGTAAATTTGTCATATTGTAAATGATATTATATAGAATATAATAAAACACATAAAATATAATTTTTTAATTTAAAGTTTTGTTTATTATAAAATAAAGAATATTATTAGAATTTTATTAAAGTATTCATCAAAGTATTATCCAATGGATTTAGAAACTAAAAAAAAAAAAGTAAATTAATTTTTCAAATTTAATATTTTGAAATAAATTTTTTACTATAAAGTGATTTCAAAATTTCAAAATTCAAAATATCCATTTTCAATAATTGGGAATAATATTTTGAAAATCTAGAAATAATATTTTCATTCAATATAAAACTTATTTAAATATTTATTATAATAGGCCATTGAAATATATATTTAAATTATACAGTTTTATATCATTAGATATATTTTTATTATTTTCTTTTTTTAAATAATACAAATCATATCATTATTTAATTGTATCATAAATATTTGTTTTATATAAAAATTATTGGTAAAAAAATAATGTAAATTTTATAACAGTCTTCTATTATATTCTTTCAAATCTAAAATGTTTAATTTTATTTTGATTTTAGAAGTTAATGTCTTATTCTATTAATAAATTAAATATTTTGCCATTTTAAATGTATGTAGCGATGTAACTATATAGTTATTTCAAGAAGGAAAGATGTAGATGTTTTTCCAATGTTTTGTATGAATTTTATTTATAATTATATTAATTATATAATTATAATAATTTATTAATTATTTATCTATTATATATTAATAGTATTATAAAAGTTATTAACTTTTACAAATATTAAATGTTAATTCTTTAATATAATAATTGTATATAATGTTAGTGTTTTTTTTGGCTTCTCTCCATTTTTTCCTAACAAAAATAAAAGTACAAAATAATATTATAAATATATAATATATAATATAGATAATGTTTAAAAAAATAGCAAGAAAAGTAATCTTTGAGATATATTTTATATAGTCCTAAACAAATTTATATTGTGCATATCATTCACAAACAGATATAAAACATCAATTGCAAAAATATAAACTTTCATGAAGTTCTATTATTATTGTGCTCTAAATTTTTTAAATCATAACCATAAAATAAATATATTTAATAATGATAAAGAAAATTCTGATTACATCAAGATAATTAAAAATAAAAATATATTTCATAGAAAATATATTGAAATTCTAGGTAAAAAATTTTTTCTTTTATATTATGATATTTCTTTTTTCTTTTTTTTTTTATAACATATTATATATATTTTTGTTTCAAAAATGTTATTGCAAATTTAATGAAATTTATTGAATATTAAATTGAATTGTAATAATATTACAATATTTAATGAAAAATTATTATAAAAATTAATTCATATAAAAAAAATAATATAAATACTATTTTCAGATCATTATGCATAATATTGAATTCATCATCTTGAATTTTATATTTTTTAAATTATGAGTACATTATGAGTATTTGATGAATTGTAGTTCTAAAAAATGATTGACAAGATGATTGACAAGAGAGAGAGGCTGGAGCTTAAATATAAAATTTTACTTGAGGTATTTATTAATTTTTCGAGATATTTTTAATAATATATATTGAATTCTGATTATATGAATATTATTAATACCACTATCTTTACTGTTATTAAGTGTTCAATAACTAATAATTTTGGTAATCTACAAAATCCTATAAAAAAGCTTTAATTGTTTTTATGAAAAATCATAAATATTGGCACTTTTTTCACAGAAGCTGTTTTTAAATTCTAATCTAATACTATTATTTTTATTCAAAGTCTGCCCAAAATAACAACATTTATATATCAAATGTTTTTACTTGCAAATTCGTTTTTTTTTCTATTTTCATTTATATATCATATTTGGTATTTAATAAATTAAATGTATTTAATTTTGGAAATTTTTTGATCAAATTTTTGATGGATTATATATAGATCATCTTATAGAGTCTGATATAGCTAAACTTTATTGGTTATTAATTTAATATTCAATGACTACAAATATTAGAAGATTATTATAATTAATAATATTTGGATAAAAAATTTGCTGCATTAATAATCTTTCAATATATGTTTTCAATATATAATATTGAAAATTGTTTATTAATATCTCAGAAAAATAATAAATATCTAAAACTAAAATTTTTAATATAATGTTCATCTTTCCAAATTTTTTATTGATCAGTGATCGAAATCTTTCGAAATTATAATTACTTTTTGATTTTAAAGATCTATTGATTGATCCAATTTTTGAATTTTAATTATATTTTCATCATTTTAAGAAGAATTGAATTAAAAAATTTATTAAACATACTTATAAATATAATATTTATAAATATAATCAATGAATCAATTTGATCAATTCTTATTTTATAATCAATTTATTTTATACTTGATTTTCTCGAATATAAAGTTTTAAATAAAAATTGTTTATTAATATTATATAAAAATTGTTTATTAAATAAAAATTGTTTGTTAATATTTTTAATTTATTTGCAACTGTAAAATAATTTTTGCTCAATTTTTGTATTTTTATTCAATATATACATATTTGTATTTTTATTCAATATATACATAAACAAAAAATTAAAAAAATATATATATAATCAAAAAATTTTCAAATATAATTTTTAAAAAAAAAAAATTTTTTAAAAACGGAACAAATTTTTTTTAAAAATCATTATCATTTCCATGGAAATTATTTCTACCTAATCATATTTCTATTTAATTGTACACTATTATATCTTGTAAAAACTTTATAAAAAATTGATAAATATTTAAAATAAAAACATCTAATTTATTTTGAAAAACAGCAAATTAAAAAATAATGATTCTGAAAAGAAGTTTCATGTAAGAAATGTAAATTTAATTTATTAATTTCGGAAAATTATATTCATAAAAATAGATTTTAGCCGAAAATATTATTTTGTATACATACATGATATATGTAAGATTATGTAATTTTGTATGTCGATGAATAAATAAACGGAATTTTAATCCTATATTATCTCACATATTTTTTTTTCAGATACATTATATATATTGTTAATCTATTCATAGATTTATAATTTATTTGTAAGATACGCAGAATTAATTCTGAAGATCAAAATAAACATAAAAATTGTTAGCTAAATTTTATTAATTTATCATAAAAATATTAAATAAAACTTATTTATTAAGTTAAAAGTTATATAACTTATAATTAAGTTATAATTTAAGTTAGATGAAGCAAAATGAAAACAATAACAATAACAAAGAAAAATAGCATAATTGATAGTATGAAAATATATAATTATTTATTTATTAAATTGTAATAGTTTTAATTAAATAAAACGAAATAAATATCCGGGATATATATCCCTGTCCATAAGTTACTAAACATTTGAATTTAATTGATATTTAAACTATTATTAATTTTATGAAAAAAAGTTGTACCATAATTCATTTAATTCATTTTGAAATATTAAATTCCTATTTTTAATCTTTTCATAATTCTTTTTTTTTTATGATATTTATAACGAAAACGAGCATAAGTTTTTTTGTCAAATTTTGCAAATTTAAATTTAATAAAGATGAAAATATTTCTTTATGATTAAATTTATCACAGATTTGAAGATTAAAACATATCTTTTAAATGATCCTTCAAAACTTACCGTATGATTTTATTATATATTATTATATATATTCTATTGAATTTTAAAAAGTATGTTTTTCGAAAAACTGTTTTTCGATTAAAAAAATCTATGTTTTCTACTTACTATATATACAATATATACAAGATATACAAATATCATAAAAAAAATTAAGCAAAGATTTTGAAAATAGATTCTTTATATTTTAAATTGAATGCATTGGATTGTTGTATGTTTTTTTTCACGGAATTATAATAGTTTAGATATCAATAATTTAATTAAGATATCAATAATAAAGATTCAAGTATTTGATTTATAGATAAGAATGTATATTTATTTCAGAATAAGCATTTCCATCTCATTTCATCCATTGTAAACAAAATGTCTTAATCAACATTTTCATACAACAATTTTTATTGACGTCTAGAATCGATCTTTAAAATATGCTCTGTAAATACATTAATATCTTTAAAGAAATTAGATATTAAATTAGATTTTTAAAAGAATCATTTCTTTTTATCACTATTTATATAATTTGTCATTGAATTATTCATCATTCAATTATTTATATTAATATGTTATTTTTTTATTTGAATTAATTCTATATAGTTCTGTCCGTATAAATAAAATATCTTAC